CCCTAAGTTGCTGAGGATAGCCTTGAACTTGCGATGCTCCCATCTTGGCCCCCTGAGTCTCTGGGATTACAGGCATGTGTCCCCATGCCCAGTGTTAGTGGTATTTCATTCTTGTTTTAATTTTCATTTCCCTGATGACCTATGATGTTAAAGCATCTTTTCTTATGCTTGTTTGCCACCTGTATATCATCTTTGGTGGGGTATCTATCAAGGACTTTGGCCTGCTTTTAATAGGGTTGTTGTTAAAAGGCTGGGGAATGTGGAATGTGGCTCAGTGGTAAAACACCCCTGCATTCAATTCCCAGTATCTCCTGAGAAAAAAATGTATTTGTATATTTTGGATAATAGTTCTCTATCACATAGGAATTCTGCAAATATTTTAGTCCAGTCATTGACTTGTCTTCTCAGTTCTTGACAGTATCTCTGCCGAGTACAATATTTTTATTTTAATGAAGTTGGGTTTATCAGTTTTCCTGTAATAGATTTTGCCTTTGGTGTCCTATCTGAAAAGCCCTTGTGAAACCCAAGGACATCTAGATTTTCTCCTGTTATCTTCTAGGGGTTTTATGTTTTGTATTTTATGTTGTACATTTAGATCTGTGATCCATCTTGAATTAATTGCTGTAAAGGAAGAAGAAGATCCACGTCTAGATTGATGTGTGGGGCCTTGGCTGTCCAAGGCCAGCTGACTGTATTTTTGTGGTGTACACAGAATATATACCCCATAGCTACGTCCCAGTTCCCACCTCCTCCAGTCACATCCTACCACTTCAGTTAATCCCATCAGGGATCAATTCACTGATTGATTGGGTTAAGACCCTTACAACCCAATCATTTCTCCTCTGAACCTTGTTGCATTGTCTCACATGTGACCTTAAGGGGGATACCTCACATCCAAACCATAACAGCAATAAAGTATGATATTCATTTTATTTATGGGGTTTTGTAGATATTCTTTATCATGTTGAAGCTCCCTGCCCATTCCTACTTCACTGAGCTTTTTCATGTCAGATGCTTTTTCTGCATCTATGGTTATGATGTGAATTTTCTTCTTTAGCCTCTTGGTGTCATGGGTTACTTTAATTGCTTTTCAAATAGTGAGCCAGCCTTATGTACATAGGACAAATCCCCACTTGACTATGATGTTTAGTTCTTTTTATGTATATTTTATTGAGGTTTTTTTAATTTATGTTCGTGAGAGATACTGGTCTATAGTTATATTTTTGTCTGGTTTTGGTAGTAGGGTGATGCTGGCTTCGTAGAATGAATTAGGAAATGAAAGCAGAATGACTATCTTACGAAGAAAGATGGAGAATTGGTCTACTTTTACCCTTAAATGTTTGGTAGAAGTCGCCTGAGAGCCCCTGTGGGTGTGATACTTTCTGTGTTGAAATGTGAACTATTGATTCCATTTCTTTAATAGACATTGTCTTATTCAAAGCATATTTGTTTGCCTTTCAAGAAATTGGCCATTTGATCTAGATTATCTCCTTTATGTTAAAAGATGTATTCACTGGGGGTACACAGAATCTTTTAGGTGTATTTTTCAATTTAGTAAGCTAGAGTTTTGGTGGGGGGAGTTGTTTTTTCTTTTAGCCCTTGGCTACTGTTCCATTGCCTTCTGGATTGCATGTTTTCTGACAAGAAGCTTGCTGTCATTCTTACATAAAGTCCTCTGTTTTCATCTGGCTACTTTGATGGGTTCTCTCTTTATTTTGGAGTTTTAGCAGTTCAACTCTGACGTCTTCAGAGGCATTTTTTCTTTGTGTTAATGGGATGCTTTGTGCTTGGGATGCTTAAAGATTCTGGAATCTATGTTTGTCTTGCACTCATTTTGAAAAAGTCTCATCAGTTTCTTCAAATATTTTTTTTCTGGTTAGATGTACATGACAGTAGAGTGTACTTTGACATGTTATACATACATGGAGTTTAACTTATTCTGATTATGTATAACCACAAGAATGGGATCCTAATGTGGCATTTCAAAGGTCATGTGTTCACCTATGAACATATGAAAGTTATGTCCAATTCATTCTACTGTCTTTCCTATTCCCATCCCCACTTCCCTTTGTCTAATCCAATGAACCTCTGTTCTTCCCTCTCCCTCCTTCATTGTGTGTTAACATCCGCATATCAGAACATTCTGCTTTTGGTTTTTGGGGATTGGAAAATATCACTTAGCATGATAGTCTCCAGATCCATCCATTTACTGCAAAAGTCATAAAGCAGTCATTCTTTTTTTATGGCTAATTTTCCAGTGTGTGCATTTATGTGTATACATATATACATACCACATATGTGTTTATATGTATATGTATGTGTATGTATGTGTATTTATGTGTGTATATGTGCGTGTGTGTATGTGTGTGTGTGTGTGTGTGTGTATATTCCACATTTTATTATCCATTTGTCTGTTGAAGGACACCTAGGTTGGTTCCATAGCTTAGCTATTGTGAATTGAGCTGCTATAAACATTGATGTGGCTGTGTCACTGTAGTATACTGATTTCATAAGTCCTTTGGGTATATACCAAGGGATGGGGTAACTGGGTCAAATTGTGGTTCCATTTCAAGTTTTCTGAGGAATCTTTATACTGCTTTCCAGAGTGGTTGCAACAATTTGCAATCCCACCAGAAATACTATGAGTGTACTTCTCCCCACATCCTCGCCAACATTTATTGTTACTTGTATTCTTGATAATTGACATTCTGACTGGAGCGAGATGGAATCTCAGTGTAGTTTTAATTTGCATTTCTGTAATTGCTAGAGATTTTGAACATTTTTCATATATTGACCCATTTGTATTTCTTCTGTGAAGTGGCTGTTCAGTTCCTTTTGCCCATTTATTGATTGGGTTATTTATTTATTGTTTTTTTTTTTTATATATATCCTACAGATTCATTCTGTATCTGAGGTGGAGGTGGCAAAGATTTTTCTCCCATTCTGTAGACTCGCTCTTCATGTTCTTGATTGTTTCCTTTGCTGTGAAAAAGCTTTTTAGTTTTATATTACCCCATTTATAGATTCTTGACTTTACTTCTTGTGCTTTAGGAGTCTTATTGAGGAAGTTGGTTCCTAAGCCAATATGATAGATAGTTGGGTCTACATTTTCTTCTAGTAGGCTCAGGGTCTCTGGTCTAATGCCTAGATCCTTGATCCACTTAGAGTTGAGTTTTGTGCAGGGTGAGAGATAGGGGTCTAATTTCATTTTATTAAGTATGGATTTCCAGTTCTCCCAGCACCATTTGTTGAACAGGCTATATTTCCTCATTTTATGTATATATACATATATATATAAATTACCTTTGTCTAGTATGAGATAACTGTGTTTATGTGGGTTTGTCTCTGTTTTCTATTCTCTTCCATTTGTATATCATTTTTCAAATATTTTGTCTCCCTTTTGTGGTGCTGGGTAAGCACTCTACCACTGAGCTACACCTGAAGCCCCCCTTGTTTTCCCTCCTCTCCTTCTACCCCTCTTGGATCCCAGTTATCCATACTTCAGATGGTTTGATATTGTCCTTAAGCTTCAGCTGTTCTGCTCTCCCCCTTTCCCTCTTCTGTTTACCTTCAGATTCACTGACTATTTATCTCCAGTATTATATTTTTTCTTGAATTTCTGTATAGTTGCCAATGTTTTGCTCAATTCTGTTCAATATGTTGCCCACCCTTTTTACTAATCTTTTATAATGTTCATCTTGGTTCTTTTAATGTCTGATGGTTGTAATATCCAGTGGGTCATCCTTTGGTCTGGTTTTGTTGACTGCTTTCTCTCTTGACAAGGAGTCATTTATCTTTTAAAAACTTTGTATGGAATACTAGTCTCACATGTTCAGGACAGTGGAGGCTGAGATGGATGGTTTTCCTACTTTTTATTCCATCAGGTTGTTAGTTGGGAGCTGAGCGGTGGGTGCTGCTCTGAGGGGGCCTAGAGGCTCTTCTCAGTGTGTCTGCTTCAGACAGGACTGTGAGGAGCCCCTGCCGTCTTCCTCCTGTGCCTTGGCACAGAGAAGAGAAAGGAGGAGTCTTCTCTGTATTCTTACCCTGCCTCTAGTGCTAGGCTGTATTTATGAGGTACAGGGTTCAAGGTAGGGCTTATCAGAATTTTCTTGGGGGTTCCTAGTTCTCGTAACTAGGTCAATTTCTGTATTGGGAAGACACATTGGGCCTGTACCTTATGGGTGGGTTTTCTCCAGTGTTGTTATTGGAGGTTGTGAAGGCACACTCTGATTCTTTTCTACTGAGCATGTTGGGGGTTTGAGTTTAACATTGTTGTGGAAGAGACCCTGCAAATACTATTGCAGTTTCACTGTCAAAATTCCAGTAGTATGCTACAGAGTGATCTTTTAAGAGTGTCTCTCTGACCCTGTCCCCTTCTTAAAACCTCTCTGGTGCTCCTGTGGTCCCTCAAGTCAAAGGCTATGAGCTCCACAGTCTGGGGGCCCTTCCTTCCATTACTTATGCCTTGTTCTCCTCCCTGGCTCCAGAACATCAGTTTTGGAAGCAGATTTTTTTCCTCTATCACTAGAGGAAAAAATACCATGCCTGGTACCTGGTAGGGGTTCAGCAACTGTCTCCAGTGAACGAGTGTAGGTGCCTTTGCTTTCCCACCCTGGAAAGCTCTTTCTTCTGCCTTCCAGTAGACAGATTTTTGGCCTCCTGGTTCATGCACAATGTCACAGGAAAATCTTTCCAGGGCACCTCTGCTGCTGCCCAAGCCCTGTGATCGTCGGTCCTGGCTGGCATACTTCGATATGGAATTTTTTGCTCCTTCTCAGTTGCCCTTAGAAGTGACTATGGGTGACTGCTGGCCCCAACCAATGCAGAGCAGGCCTTTGGTGACCTTCCAGTGGACTTTTGCTGTCCCAATATGGCCACCCCAGCTTTGGTCTGATTTTTGCACATGCTCGCAGATTAGGATGCTTAATGCCCCTTTTCTTGTCCTAGGAAAAGTGGATTATCCCATTCCCCTCCGTGGACAGGAAGACTTGAGCTGAAATATGTGGCGTATCCTTCAAGGCCGGAGCCAAGGGTGCTTGGGCCATCGGGGAGTCCTGGCAAGGGCAACCCTGGGGCAGCCAGGGCCCCCGGGTAGCAGAGCCCGGACTAGCGCTGGTTCGCAGATTGGGGATGAACACAGCTACGTGGTGGTGGGTGCGGGCTCTGCGGGCTGTGTGCTGGCCAATCGGCTCACCGAGGACCCTGCAGAGCGGGTGCTGCTGCTGGAGGCAGGGCCCAAGGACTTGCTGGCTGGGAGCAAGCGGCTCCTATGGAAGATCCACATGCCCGCAGCCCTCGTGGACAACCTGTGTGATGACAAGTATAACTGGTCCTACCACACAGAGCCACAGCTGGCCATGGACAGGCGTGCACTGTACTGGCCACGTGGCCGCGTCTGGGGTGGCTCATCATCCCTCAATGCCATGGTCTACATCCGTGGGCACGCTGAAGACTACGACCGCTGGCAGAGCCAAGGTGCTGAAGGCTGGGATTATGAACACTGCCTGCCCTACTTCCGCAGGGCACAGGGCCACGAGCTGGGTGCCAGCCAGTACCGTGGCGGCGATGGCCCACTGCGTGTGTCCAGAGGCAAGACAGGCCACCCGCTGCACCTGGCATTCTTGCAGGCGGCACAGCAGGCCGGCTACCCGCTCACCGACGACATGAACGGCTTCCAGCAGGAGGGCTTCGGCTGGATGGATATGACCATCCACGAAGGTAGCGTGGGTCCCCGCTGTCCTCACATCCTAAACTGTACTCTATCACGGCCCATTCCCTCTAGCCCTATTGGGATCAGTAAGTGTGGTAAAATGGTATTGGAGGAAAGTAGGTGATACACTGGCCCCCAGATGCTACAGAATGTACCCCAATACCAGAGACATGGCATCACTTTGGCCCTGGTGGTGTGGACAAGGGATAATGGGCTTCTTGGACCAAGAGCTCAGAGTTTTCGAGAAGAGGAAATTAAGGCGCAGAGAGGCAGTCAGGAGCACATGGCCCTCTTCGGTGGCACCCTCTTTCATAAACTGGGATACTGACCCAGAGGCATGTAGGACAGAAGCAAGGCCAGGGCTCACTTCAGGGTCCTGACCCCTCTGTCATCCTGTTAGGGTAAAAGATGGTTTTCCACCTGTGCCCAGGGGACCTCGGGTAGATGTCGACTTGGGCAGGGCTTCAGGGCTCAACCTTACTTTGAAGACAGGCCTTGCATAGTCAGAGGCAGGACATATTCACCATTTCCCCAGCCTTCCAGAAGTGTCAGCGAAAGAACAGGGGCTATACTTTGATCTTGCTCTGTCCTGCAGGCAAGCGCTGGAGTGCAGCCTGTGCCTACCTGCACCCGGCACTGAACCGCCCCAACCTCAGGGCTGAAGTCCAGACGCTTGTGAGCAGGGTGCTGTTTGAAGGCACCCGTGCTGTGGGTGTGGAATACATCAAGAATGGCCAGAGCCACCGGGTGAGTGAACTACAGCAGGGCCCCTCTTAGCTCAGAGCACAGGAAGGGAATGTGCAGCCTGGGCAGAAGTCATGCCCTCCTCCCCAGCCACATGCTCTTGTCCCTCTGATGAGTGACAGAAGAGATGGATTGTCCTCTGCCTCATGGGGAGGCTGTGGCTGGTAGAGAGGAGGAAGATCCTCTGGTACCAGTATGCCATGCTCACCTCAGGTTTATGCTAGAGGTTTTAAAACCCATAAATGAGATTGAATGCTGTGCTGCTGCAGTGTGCTTTTCTCCACTTACCAGGTTGGTTTGGCTCCATGCATGCATGCTTTTACTACTTGAGTGACTGTTTTCATTCACCTCATTTAAATGCCCCCGTTTGCTTTATTTTTTTGCTACTTGGGACGGAACCCAAGGACTTGAGCACACTAGTTGCTATATCAGAGCCCTTGAGATAGAACCCAGCCTCCACAACTCTGATCCTAAGCTGTGATTGTCAGCCTAATCTGTATTTAAGGCCACTGTTACAGAATGTTCTAGAGCTAGGTCCATGATTTGAACATACCCTGAATGCACATGCAGGTTACTTTCAAATGGTGACACGGTGCACTCCCCCTTTATTCCTGGGCCTGTGAGCAGGATCTCCAGGGTGGTGACGGCAGCATCCTCATGCCCAACATGAGTACATCCCAAGGCCATGTTCTTGTGGCTCTGGAGTGGGGTGCTGGTCTGTGAGCTGCGAGAATAGCTGGCTCTCAGGAGATATGACTGGGTGGTTCTTTGCCTCTTCCAGGCTTATGCCAGCAAGGAGGTGATCCTGAGTGGGGGTGCCATCAACTCTCCACAGCTGCTCATGCTTTCAGGCATTGGGAATGCAGATGACCTCAAGAGACTGGGCATCCCTGTGGTGTGCCACCTGCCTGGTGAGCCCCCCCCCACCCCGCCTTACTACTTCCAGAAACTGACACATCTTTCCCATGAGCCCAAGGGTCTCCAGGTTGCCCTGGACATTCTTGACCCTGGGCATGGATCCGTAGCCAGCCCCTCCCACTTGGACAAGGCAGGAGTTGCAGGAAGGGTGGCTGAGACACAGGGGCCAGACAGGAGCTGGCTTAGAAGATAAGTGAAGGGGGGACAGGGTTCGAAGCGAGCTAAGCCTCCATGGTAGCCATTTTCCCTAACCACTCCCTCCCGTTCTAGGAGTTGGCCAGAACCTGCAGGACCACCTGGAGATATACATCCAACAGGCCTGCACCCACCCCATCACCCTCCACTCAGCCCAGAAGCCCTTGAGGAAGATCTGCATTGGACTGGAATGGCTGTGGAGATTCACAGGTAGGCAGGTTCCTCTGTGACCTTGGTGGCTGTGGGCATTGTGCTCTCCTTCCCGAGGAGCTAAGCAAGGACTCTAGGCTTCAGGTTTCTGTTTGAAGCTGAACTAGGCCCTTTACCCGAGCCCTAAGCTCCTGCCTGACAGACTGGTATGAGGGCCTGAAGCCCTTAGCACAGTGCCCACTCAAGCAGAATGCTCAGGTGCTGCCCTTCTTATAGGCAGGTGGGGATAGACCACCACGTGGAACAAGGCAGAGAGAAGACCTTGGTACTGGGCTGCAGAATCGGCACTGCCTCAACCAGGGGACCTTTCTTGGAAATCCTCCCCAGCTCAGACTGTTTCCCCCTCCTTTGCTATACCCTGAACCAGGTGGGAGGGGCCAACAGGCAGCTGAAGCCCCCATTAGGCACAGGGTTGATATTTAAAGCTGTGGTGTGGGTGAACCCACCTGCGGCAGCTATGGCTAGAGCTTAGGGCCAGGAGGATGGGGGGAAGGTACCAGGAACAATTGTTCTGCCTGCCTTATCCTCTTCTGATACTCAGGGTACGGAGCCACATCCCATCTGGAAACGGGTGGGTTTATCCGCAGCCAGCCTGGGGTCTCCCACCCAGATATTCAGTTCCATTTCCTGCCATCCCAAGTGATTGACCATGGCCGGGTCCCCACCAAGCAGGAGGCTTACCAGGTGAGCTCAGGAGCCACTGCTAGGCAGATTCCTCCTCCCCAGTACGGGGCTTTCAGACCCTTGCCCTCCAGTGGCTCAGTGTGTCAATGGGGAGAGAAAAGTGGCAGCCCAGAATCTTTGTTTGGAAGGGAGGAGTTGATCAGTGTGAGGAGGGGGCTCTGGGGTCCCACCACCAGCCATGGGCAAGATAGGCTGTGTACCAAGGAGTGTAAAGCTGGGAGGGAACAGGGATTCCTGGAGATAGGGCGAGATGCAGGCCAGACGTGTCAGACTGTACCTGTTCTTAATAGATGCTGGCTTACCCCACAGGAAACCAAGGACTGCTGCAGGCTACTGAGTTGGGTTGAGGGAGGTCAATGTCATTGTCTCCTCTGAACTCTCCTAGGTACATGTGGGGCCTATGCGGAGCCCAAGTGTGGGCTGGCTCAAACTGAGAAGTAAAAATCCCCAGGACCACCCAATAATCCAACCCAACTACTTGTCCACAGGTAATTCAGGAGCTGCTGGTATCTCCCCTCTACCTAGGCTGGATAAATGCCTTTATAGGATCCTCATTTGTCCCTGCCCTATCACCCTAGGCCATAAGCTTGGAGGCACAATGTCCTGGGCCAGGTGAAGTAACCCCAGCACCTCACTTGGCAGGTGAGAGGTGCAGGGACACCTGGCGGTGTGTGTGCAGCTCGCCATCCCAGGCCTGCCTATTTGCCAAAATGAGCACCTCTGTTGGACAGAGCCTGCCTCTGCTACCATGTGGCTGTGAAAGCCCCCATGCCAACTCTGGGGCAGAAGCTGCCCATCTAGATGGTTATGGGCAGGTGATACACACCTGGTGACTTGGTCTTCCTTCCGTGTCTGTGAACTTTGTCCCCTGTGGCTGGTTGAGTCTCTGCATACCTGGAATTTTCCAGGGAGGCCAGCATGGTAAGAGGAAGGGCCTCATTTTGTCTCTTCTCTTCAGAAACAGATATCAAAGAATTCCGTCAGTGTGTGAGGCTGTCCAGAGAAATTTTTGCACAGGAAGCCCTGGCTCCCTTTCGGGGGGAAGAACTCCAGCCAGGAAGCCACGTTCAGTCCGATAAGGAGATAGATGCCTTTGTGCGGAGAAAAGCCGACAGTGCCTACCACCCCTCATGCACCTGTAAGATGGGCCAGCCCTCCGATCCCATGGCCGTGGTGGACCCAAAGACCAGGGTCCTGGGGGTAGAAAACCTCAGGGTCGTTGATGCCTCCATCATGCCCAGCATAGTTAGTGGCAACCTGAACGCCCCCACAATCATGATTGCAGAAAAAGCAGCCGACATCATTAAGGGGCAGCCTGCACTCTGGGACAGGGATGTTCCTGTCTACAAGCCTAAGACCTTGGACACCCAGCGTTAAGACAGCCACTGCCTTAGGATGACCAGAGAGGCCCCCAGCACGCTGACAGGACGGATCAGCCAGCCCTTCCTCCAAATGTTGCCAGAAGCCACCTGGAACACTGGGACCTAGGTAGCCCTATTCAGTGGCTGAGAACTGGATAATGTCTCAGGAAATGAGACTAGTTCTAGTCAGTATGTCAAGTTGTTCTCCTCCAGCATTTTGATATAGTCCTTTGGGAGAAGGCCACTGTGCAGCCTGGGACCCTGCATCCTGGAGGGACAGGGGAGGTGATAGGGGAACGTGAACTGCCACATTCTCGTCCTGTATCCATGTGGTCTTCTCCAACGCGGGGTCCTGCTGCCTTGAGCAGAATGCTTTCTTCCAGGCTTCCCCCTAAGAGGACAGGGTGGTTTGCCCAGATGTGGTAAGCTTGCACTGAGCCCCCCAAGGAAGGGTATCATCCTGTGTCTTGAGCTTTACCCAAGGCTGCAAGTCATAGGAGTTAGCTCAGCCCAGGCTGGCACTGAATCCCGAGGATCCCTGGGCAGAGGGAAAGTTGCCATCTGACTTTTGTCTTTCCCTAATCCTGATTTTACTGTCAGAGGGAGGGCCACCTCCGTAGTGTTCTGATTCCACAGTCCCGATGAGAGGCTTTCTGGACCTCATTCAAGGAGGGAAAGGCACTTTGGTCTTATTACCAAGAAACACAGACTCCTAGAGCCAACCCCACCTACCAGGTCACCTCTTTGTCAGGAAAGCTCTGGCTGCTTCCCAGGGCTCCAGTACAGAGACAGGGCAAATTCTTATTCTCTGGACGTTCATGGGAACAGATCAGAATGGTGCTGAGAGTGATAGAAAAGCAGCTAAGTACAAGAAACAGTAATCGGTGAAGATTGGAGTTTTCAGAGGGAGGGGGATAGCTACAAGGAGCATTTACAACAGCTCTTTGATATTTAATATGTTCTAGTAACTTATTTTTGAACTGTGATACCTTATCCCCATAGGCTTGCAAATGAAAAGAAAAATCCATTCAAAATGCTTTTAGTTAAACCGTGCAAATCTTCCATGGATAGGAGGGAAGAAAAGTGATGTGGAAACCTGCAGTGCTGGGCCCAGAATAAGGAGGGGGAAACCCAGGGGTTCCAGGCAGCTCACAGATCTTGGAGGCCCAATAACTGCAACATTTCTGAGAAAAACCTTCCAGAAAGGTGGACAGAAAGAAACCATCATACATATTCCTTTTAAAACTTTAGGCAGTTCTTGTTTAATCTTACCTGTATTTTTTTCTCTGTTCCAAGAGAAGATCAAGAAAGAAAATTCTAAATCTGCTAAGAGATTTCTCTTCAAAAGTTAGATGATCCCCTCAGCAGCCATCCATCCTCTGGGGACTCAGATGGCAGCTAGGCCACATGCTACCATCCGGTCAGAGAGGTCGTGTTGATTCAGGGAAGGGTACGTTTTGGTCGCAGGCCTGACTGAATTTACTGACGTAGATAGGGCAGTTGACAAGTCATTTAGTTCCACCATCTCTGCATCCCATGGTGTCTCAGTCTCTGAGACAAAAGCAGCTGTATCTTGAGATAAGCAGAGTGACATGTGATAAGAGCCCGTCAGGCCCCTCTCCTCCTTTCACATGGTGAGGCGGTTTCCACATAATCGCACAAGGAAACACATTTCAAGAGATAAGACAGCAAGTGTCATGTGTCCAGAACCCACAGAAGTCAAACCAGGAAACTGCTGTTGGGGTTCAGGCACAAGGTTGACTTGAAGAGTTCCTCACATGAGCCCTGACAAACAGACGTGGCTCCTGCCACAGCACTGGCCCACATCCAAACAACAGGCTGTCTGGAAATTCCACTGTCACGAGGAAGAGAGGGCTGAGGGAGCCCAAGTAGGCAGGACAGTGCTCACTTGTGGGGAACCAGGCCAACTTCGATGGCTGAGCCTCTTGTCAAAAAGCTTATCATACCTAACAGCAGAAGACTGCTTTGCTCAAAGAGTCAGAAGGGCATCCATGGCCAGAGCTCTGAGGAGCCTCACCTCGTGGAAGATGACCGTACTCACACCACGGGAGGAATTACTGATAGGAGGGACAGATCGGGAAAGGGCCAGGAGCCTCAGCCAGCATGACTAGAAATGGTGAGTGCCAGGAGCGGAAGCTGAGGTGCCCCAACGCACAGCCTTTCCGCTTCCACTGCAGGCTGCGGGATAGTGATTTCCATAAATTCAAATAGATTTTTCACTCCAGCCAAACCCTAACCCTCAGCCCAAAGGTTGTTTTCATATTTCCACTTATAAACTAACATGACATCAGCGCTGAGACACATTTTTGTTTCTTCCCCCTTGAAAATCAGAAAAAAAGATACCTCTCCTCCATGCGTCCAGATATTCTCCAGCCACCCTCCTCACCCCATTCTGATGGCAGAAGCCAACACCCAAACCTGTTCCTGCTTCTGCACTGCCCTCCCAGGCCCTGGAGGGAAGAAAGAACCTTTCAACAAGCCACAGCTGGGCCTGAAGTTGTAGGTCAGGTGCTGGTGTTCCACATGTGCTATCAGCTCTGTGGCTAGCCTGTTTTTACAAATAAATGGTTCACCCTATAAATAAAAGCCTGTAGGAAAATGCAATTGGCATAGACATTTTAGACTGTGAAATAAACATCTCTGGCTTCTTTGAAGAGTGGGGTCCCCTAGTAAAGTGGGTGAGCATCTAGCTGCCATTGCCCCAGGCAGGCAGAGCCACAGCTTGCAGTGAGTGGCTTTCAGTGCCCCCAAACCCACCCCTCCTGGCCTTCACCCAATTCTGCAACACACCAGAGCTGGGACCTGTCACCTGGTCAAACGGGAATCCAGCTGTTTGGGAATTAGAGTCCACATGCTGAACAAGATGGTTCTCACTGTTGATTTACAGTTGAATCAAAATCACCATTTCTACACAAGGTTAAAGAAATATACTATTCCTGAGAATACAAAACCGTTTGGGGGAGGGTCCAGAAAGTAGAGAGATTAAATCTTAAAACTCTTCTAAAACAAAGGGAAAAAACCATGCTCTACAACTTCAGATTTTTCTTAAAAAGAGAAATTTAATATTAGATGAGAGGTTGGACCAGGCTTAAAGCAGACAGATACCAGGAAGTGGTGCAGCCTTTATCAACGCCAGCATTTAAGTACTGACTTCAGAAAACACTTGTCACCTGTTCCAGAACTTGCAGTCCTGGGAGGTGATTTTGACCTGATGATGTGCAGCCCCACAGTAATACCAAAACCCCGTGGAGACAGTCCAGATAATGTTGACAGTGGTGTAGCCCTTTGGGAGAAGTGGCGCTCTCTGTGGCTGGTGTTACCATGGGCATCGAAGGAGCTGAGGACGAGGAAAAATCTACCTGTGTGCAGAGCTGCCCCGAGAGCGCCTGCCCCGCAGCTCTCACTGGCCAGGAGAGCTCCCGAAGACAATGAAATTATTACGCAGTTTCATTCTGAAGAACAGTTTGCATTTTAATAAAAAAGGCTTTCTGTCAGGAAATAGTCATTTACAAACCTTGAAGTGTTTTTGCCCAGATCTGGAGTAAGAATGTTTTACGAAGAGGTTTGTGAGGTCTTTGTAACAAAGTGTTATTTACAAAAAAAAAAAAAAAAATGACAGTTTTGTCTATGTACTAGTTAAAAAAATTTGAACCAAAATTGCTACCTGTCTTTGTGAGTGCAGGGAATCCCTGCCAAGGTCACGTGATGACGTCGGAGTGATTCTGTTAACAGAAAAGGAAGCCTTGACAGTTCTAATGATCCAAAACTGTCTTTTTCCAGGACATACAGTCAGAGTACATTCTCATGAAAACTTCAGCCCTCATTCAATTGCATATAAAAGCCCTCAAAGAGAACACAGCACAGCAACATTTTGTAAAAGGCAACAACATGATCTGTACAGACCCCAACATTCTGACCCTAAGGGTCACCACAGTGCTCCTCTGTCCCCCGCCCCAGCACCACCAGTCCCCAGGGCACTGGAGCAGACATACTACTTTCACCTGTGCAATTATTTCTGCATCAGAGTTGCAGAAATGGCCTGTGTGGGCAGCTGAGGCAATAAACCTACGCCTGCACCGGGGCAGAGTAGCCCAGCTTGACCTACTCTGTAATAGACTTATCAGAGGGTTATTAAAGTAAAACCAAACAGATAATTGCAACCCCTGGTGGATAAAAGTACCCTATCAAAATCATAGAATTCTTGCCCAAAGAAAAAAACTGCAAGTAGTCATCTTGTATACTTATGTAAAGACAGGTTTATAGTGACTCAAAATATTTTAGAAAAATTTCTGTAGTGTCAAGTTCTTTCGAACTCAAAATTTTACCCCCAAAGGATTTTCACTGAATATGTGAGAATTGGCTCTATTTTGTCTACCTTTCTATAGCCCAAGTAAAAATACTAGTAATTTCTAGATTTCAGTGGGGAACTATAATCGTTAGGACCCATGGATATTGCTGCAGGTTCAAATACGGTACAATAATTACAAAATATAGACCATCTCTTTACAAATACAAATTGTAATATATTACAAGTCATGTACAGTAAATCTAATTTTTAAACAAACTAGTGTATCTAAGTTTACCTGGTTGCGAGTGCATTATTATTCCAGTTTACAGTTGCCCTTAAGCACGACAGTCGGAACTGACCATCCGAGTGACGTTCTCTTATGTAAACTGGCGTCACATAGCAGAAAACCTTGTCTATGAGGTCCCACTCCCCTCTCATGATGATCGCTGGTAGCGGGGTTCTGACACTGTCCTCCAGAACAGCTAAACAGGAACCAGGAAGCAGTGTGTTTGGGGTATAAAAATGGATATGCTGGGCCCAGTGTCTGATATGCTAGACTGATGGCTGAGGTAATGACAAGGTGTGGTGATCGTCATCACCTTTAACCTTCCCCACCGCTCCTTTGGGCACCCTGGGTGCGGTGAGACTCGGACTCCCCTGGCAGCACCCATCTGGGTGGTCGGGAGGAACTGCTCTGGCCTTACCCACCCTCACAAGAGGGCTGGATCTGCCTTCTGCCGCTGGGCTCAGCGCATGGCGCACTGCTGAGCTCGCCGCTTGGAACCTGTACCTACCAGGTTTATGGCTTCCTTGAGGCATGACATCACTTGTACAAAAGTCTAATTGAATATTTACTCCCAACTAGTGCCTAAACTTTCTAACTACGAGGCACTTTTCCCCCACAAAGGCTGGAGCTGCTCTGCCCCTGCTGAGGCTACAAGGTGGTGATGCAGATCATCTCATCTGCGAGGTCTTCCTCATCTCGTCCAGGGTCTGGCTCTTCGTCACTATAGCCTGGACCGAAGTCCTGGAGCTCATAGTCCTGCCGGTGTGAGGCAGGACCCAGATCCCCGTTGGCCCGAGGACACACGTTCCCGTTGAGCAGGGTGCTGGCTGCACTTTCCATCTCATCAATGGTTAAGTCACAAGCATCGGCGATTTCATGTTTTGTAGCCGACACAAATTTTGGATCTCTTGCGTAGCGTCCTAAACCTTCAGATATCAGGACCTGTACAAGATACAAGGTGGCATCAACATGTCATGGCTTTGCTGAGGGGGAGAGGTGGCAGAAAAAGCCACTCAAGTGCTAACTGCATGATGTGCCATGAGGACCTCGCCCAACCACGTTTCCCAGACCTCACACGTGACGACTGTGAATGGCTTTAGCTTTGAAAACATCAGGAAGCTGAAAAGCCCCACACAGCTCCAGAGTGAACCCGCTGGGGGAGAATAGGGTACAGCCTGGCAGCGCCAGGGGAAACGCTCGCAGGGAGCTCAGTGTAGCTCATCTATGAGATCTAGCCGTTTCCGCTCAGGCTTTGCACACCATTCCTCCTGCTGAGGAGTGTCAGGACTGGGTGGACAGGCTCTGGCACCCTCCTGTGGAGTGTGGCTGGCTGGCTCTCCTGGCTCTGCCTCTGCTCTCAGGCCCCAGTGGCTGAAGTCCATACTCACTGCCTCCACCAAGCTGTCTGCGCTCCTCTGCTTGTCACTGTTTTTGTTCCGAAAGCTGCTGGGGACAGTCAGGCTGGCTGGTGTGAATGTCCTATAGGAGATGTCAGGCTCATCTGTGTACCAGGAGCTGCGGTGCAGGGATGGCAGGCTGCCATTGACCTGGTCCAGGGACTCTGACCTTTCCACCTGGATCAGGGGGGTGTAGCACGGCGTCCAGTCCCGGTATGGAGGGGTTGCTGGAGGGGTGGCCCATGACCGGGTTGAGTGGCTTGGTGAGTACTTCTGGGCTTTACTCGAATCCAGGCCTGCAACTGCCATGATCTGAGGAGAGACAGGAGAGTGGGGAGGAGGAGGCCCTGAAAGGCTGGGTGCTGCTTCATAGGCAGCCTCGCCCAAGGACACAAGAAAATTAAGTGAGCTGTCAAAAGAACTGTGGGTTCCTAACAGATGTGTTTTCTCTTCCCCCAAGTCATTCCTAATGTGTTTCCTATAACTGCACAAGGAGTTTTGTTACTATCATGCAGTTGCTTCAGAATGACGACGAATTGGGAAGCTGAGGTGTGTGGACATACCACCTGGTCTCTCTGGGTTTAAATACTGGAGGATGTTCAGGAAAAAGCAAGGAGTCCAGCTCACAAAGGAAAATAGCTGGCTCGCTCCTCTCCAGTATAGCTGGCTCGCTCCTCTCCAGTACAGCTCACCCTGTGCCCAGCAGTCCTCTGTCCTGTGGCACTGAGCACAAACCCTGCTTCCTACAGCTCCACCACAGCAGATCCGCCCACAGTGTAGAGGGACCTGAGCCTGTGGGTAAACAGCACAGGTTCACCCAATGGAGGTAGCTGAGACAGACAAGACCAGGGCCTGGTTCACATGAAGCGCATGCCCTTAGAGACCTCCATGCCTACTAGAATCATAACATCTGGTGGCTTGGATCTTCTAAAGGTTTGTTCTTTGTCCTTGATGACATAGAACAGAATTAAAAATTAGCATTAAAAGTGCAAGTAGAGGGCTGGGTGTGCTGGTGCACTCCTGTAATCCCAATGGCTGGGGAGGCTGAGGCAGGAGGATCCCAAGTTCAAAGCCAGCCTCAGCATCTTAGTGAGGCCCTCAGTAACTCAGCAAGACTCTTCCTCAAAAAATTAAAAAAGGGCTGGGGATGTGGTATAGTGGATAAGCACCCCTGGGTTCAATCCCCAGTATTCACCCTGCCCCAAAAACATGCAAGCAGAGAAGTGAAAAGCTGGCAGAGACTGGACTAGAAAATCTGAACTGGCCTCACTGAGTATTCATGTGCTCAGGACCCTGGGTTAAGAACCCTGCAAAGACCTGTCTCTACCAATGGACTGGCTGAGTGCTAGAAAGTCCCTTGACCACCCTGTGCCCCATAATCCATGAACAGACATATGGTGAACCATACTCTTGTCCTTGAGGCAGAGCACCAGTGAGTGGGTGCTGGGCCACAGGCTGCCTTGTGCACAGCTACCTTCCCTGTGGGCAGGGAGTTCCCTGGGCCATCCCGGTGACCGCAGAACTCCATGAATGTGTCTTAACAGAGGAACTACCTCTCAGAGCAGATAAAGAACAGCGGCAATTTGGGAGAATCTGGAAAAGAGGCTATGGCTCCCTGAGACAGGGATTATCC